ATAGAGAAATGATAGGATTTAATTTTTATATATCTGAAAGAGTTAGATAGACTATGATAATGCAAATCGCCACTCCTCAACGATCATCTTTATCTATACAACTTTGTTGTAGTTGTGAAACTATGACCAAAGTTGCTAGAAATTTGAATCTTAGAAAGCATTCATTAGAAGAAAGACTCTATATCTTTGAAGATGAAATCTCTTCATCTCAACAGACTATTAGTAAATATCAAAATGAAATTCTTCAATTATAAAATAGTTTAAAGAAATTTAGTTCTAGAGGTACTTTTGAAAGACCCATTTCTAAAGAATTGCTTCTATAAGTAAAAATTATTTTGATAAAATGAAGACTGAATTAATGGATTCGAAAGCTGCAGGGCAAGGGAAGTCTTTATATAAATTAAAACAAAAAATTGGTGATTGTGTCAGTATTGTTCGAAATTCTAAAAAAAAAATCAATTTTACAGGAAATTGTTGAAAAATCGACATTTCTTAAATATGGCCCCTAGTGTATGAAGAAGAAGATGAAGGAGAGTGTGGATACCTTGAAATAAAAGACTATGAAAGTCAAGATGAGATTAATGCTTTAAAAGAAGATAGTGAAGAAGATGAAAGCAAAGACGATGAAAAAATTTGGATACATAGATATGGATATAGGAATCTTAGCCGGAGAAATATAAATTAGAATGTTAATAGAAAATGATCAAATTAAAATAGAAACCAAGATGGATGAAAATAGAAAAAGAACTAAATTAGAAACAAACCAAGAATTTGGAAAAAGAAAAGATCCCACGAATACAGAATAAGATATAGGAGGAAAGTACCATTTTTCCACTGCTAGAGACTATGAATGAGAAGATAAAATTTATAGAAGTCTTGGAAAAAGACGGTCAGAAGAAAGATGTAGTTTACCATTAGCAAGCGACAAATGACTAGTTTTTGAACTAAATAATTGTAAACCTCAAGACAGTCCTAGCACTATAACTAAATAAGAAAATTATGTAATTAGAGCATATAATAGTGTAACTATACACATGACTGTGGAAGAATTGTGTTCTTATTTAGAAACTTATTTAAGAAAGACAGCATTAGATATATATGTTACACCTAAAAGATAAAAGCCAGAAGAAATTATGTTAAGAATGGTCGGAGGAGATAATCCTAGAAATTTTACAACTTTTATTAGAGAATTAATTATAGGTTATGATCCTAGTAGAGACAACACTTATGAACAGAATACAGCCCTAGAAGATTTAGAAAAATTAAGTATTAATAATATGAAGTATATATAACCATTTTTATTAGATTTTTAAACATCAAGTATAGCAGGTTTAACATTAGATGTACCTATACTTGAAAGAATATATAGAAAAATGTCACTATAATGGAATGATAAGATTAAAAAAGATGTAGATTCAAGACCAACAAGAGAAGTAACTATTAGTGCTACTATAAAATTTATAACTTATAAACTAAAAGAATACAAAATAGAAGAAGTAGCTAGAAAGTAAATAAAGAAATTAAATTATTCTTTTTGCTCAAATTTACATACACCACAAACCTACGATTTTAAAAGAAGAAAGAAAAAAATGTATAAAAAGGATAAAAAATAAATTTAAAAGACAATATCAAGATAAAAAGAAGTATACTATTAGACCAAGTAAGATATACTATGAAAACAAAAGACCCAACTACAATAGATATGTTAGAAAACCAAAAACCAAAAAGGACTATAAATGTTATATTTGTGGTGATCATAGATATTCTGCTAATAAATGCCCTAATAAAAATAAAAATAAAAATGAAGAAAGTATGGCTAAATCTATGATAATTGAAGAAGTCTATTGTAATATTATAGAATTATTTGATAATGAATATTGTAGTTCAGTACATAGTATTTATAAAGATTAAGAATTAGACAATGTAGAAATGATAAGTAATTCTGAAGATGGTTATAGTAGTTTGGAAGAATTAGATTTTTCAATTCTTGATACAAAATGATGAACATAGAACAAGAATGCGTCCATGAATGGATTAGAGGACAATGATCGACGATGGATAAATGTAAAATATGTAAAATATACCCAAGACATAAAAATAGAAATCAGTGTAGAAATTTCTTGGAAATCCACTGTAACAATCGTTTAGGAATTAAAATAAAAAACTAATAATAAAGTCAAAGACTATAGTAAAAATATAGAAAGATTAGAAGATAGGATAATAAATACAAATAATTGAATAGACAAAATATATGAAACTATAGGAGAAATACAATGTAGAATTAGAAACTTAGAAACAAAAGGAAAATAATCTATAGATAATTATATAGAAAATAATTATTTAGAAACAGAAAGCCAAGAAAAAATAATTTCTCAAATATTTAGAGTAAAGCCAACTAAAAGCCTTAGAATACCTATAGAAATACAAAAAAATAAAATGATAAAACTAAATTTAGTAGCTTTAATAGACACATGATGTACATTTAACATAATTAGAGAAGATTTAGTTCCAGAAGACTATAGGCAAAAATTAGAATGTGAAATAAGAAGTCAAATGGACGAAATTAAAATGGGATCTGAGAACGACTTTTGATGACTGTAAAATTAAATTTTGAGAAAGACAATATAATCTAACAATCACATCAGTTAGCGATAATAAAAGATGAATTTGTTATATGAATAAAATTCGTACTAAGTAGAAACAAAAGTTTAACAATTACCCTTGATGTTATAATTTTTGGGAAAGACACATTTATTATTAATACTATAAAATCATTAGAGTTTTTTGATAGAAAATCTTAAATATTTCAAGAAAAGAAAAAAAAAGTATAAAAGAAAATAATAATTCAGGAAAAAGAAGAAGCATATTTACTTTTATTTTTCGGCAATGTTTAATTAAAACATCCAATTTGATTATATTTTTCTCAATTTCATCACTCAACTTTTGTTTAGATTTCAATTTGACCACTCTACTTTTGACTTTAAATGATTTGATGTATTCTATGTTATAGTGGAATTAGAAACTCAAGAATTTCTTTCCCTGTTTAAGGTTTACATGGAAAATGTGTGTGTGTGTGTGTATATATATATATATATATATATATATATATATATATAGAA